TAATCCAATGTTATCTGTGCTGTACATAATAGATAATAAAATAAATAATTGACTTACCCAAGTCCTGTGTTAATCACATATTAGAAATAGACCAAAAACCAATTCTTGAGGTTGTTGATGCAGAATGTGTTTTGTCATACTACAGTGTTTCTGGGGAGAGAAGATAATATGTATCAGTTAGCTTTTGCTGTATAACAAACTGCTCCAGAGTCCATAGCTTGAAACACTTGGCATTTATATAGTGATGATTCTGTGGGTCAAATCTGGACCAGATTCACCTGGGCATTTCTTCTGTATCAGCCTGGTCCTGCTCATGCCAATACTTCTTCAGTTAGCATCTGATCAGTGTGTAGCTTTGCTTCTGATTGCTCCCCGGTATTCAGCTGAAGTGACAGAGGTAACTGTGTCACATGTTTTTATCATTTTTGCTACTCTTCTTTCCCAAAATCCCAGTGTCAGGGTAGAAGGGTATTACAAAAAGATTGAATACAAGGAGACATGAACCAATTAGAGCCATTACTGGACACATTTACCACACACTAAATATGTGCAGTGTGATCAAAATATATGGTGATGTTTAAATTTTCCATCCATTTTGCCAAACAGTGATAGTGGGATCTCATAGATACATAGTAGTCCAAAGCCAGGTGAAAAAATTTTTTTAACTTCTAGATAACAGATAAAACATTCAGTATCCCTTTCTCATAATGAAAGTTGTGTGTATTTAATACCATTTGACTAATGTTCCATGATGATTTTCTGCTATACCACTCTAATTGTAAATCATAACAGTCATCTAGTGATGTTTTGAAAAGAAAATCACCAAATGCTTGCATAGTGTAAGTCTCTAATATGCAGAGAAAACTAATATCGGACTTGTCTGGAAGGAAGGCTTGAATTCTATGATGGTAAAGTAGAGATAAGCCAAGCCTCCTTTTTACAAAGTGGGCTGTGGACACTGGGCAGTGGGAATATGGATGCAGGGAGAGAAGGGGAGAAGTGAGGAGACTGTGGTCAGCAGGAGGAAGGTTGATGGAGAAACAAAGAGGAGATGCAATGATTGTAAAGTTGAATGAAATTAAATACTGTATGAATCTGCAAGAGTTTTTATCACCTGGTGGAATATTGAAAACTTCTGGAAAATGTTTGGAAAATGGTCCTCTGTCCATGTTACAAACAGGAAAACAAAACAAAAACAAAAACAAAAACAAAAACAAAAGGTCAAGGAGGAGTATGGGTGAAGACACGTGCTACACATATTTTATGGTTTGTGTTTGTATTCTTTGAAAGTATTGATTCTTTTTTATTATTCTTTAACTTCTTTCTTCATCCCATTTTAGCCCATTCACTCTTTTCTCCCAAAGCTATGAAGAAGTCTAGTCAGGACCAAGGACAGATCCCGGGTCAGCTTGGGTTTTCTCCTCTGCTTTTATTCTCCTCTACCCTAATAAGACACTGAAGGCCTAATCTTTTGAATTATTTCAATTTCTTTTTTAGCAAAAGAGAGAAGATCAATGTTGGTACATGTAGGTCCCAAGGGGCGGGAAGAGGCTTCAGTGTAGAGAGCTCTTTGTATTAGAGGACTCTTAACAGCTAACAAGAATTGGAATTATCATTAATATTATATAGTGAATGATTGCTTTTTGTTTTCCTAGTGACTCCTAACAATGCAAATCCAGTCACTCACTATTGCATAGTACACTGCAAATGTTCCATAAGTGCATTTTAATTATTAATCTGTATTCATGTTGGTTTTTAATCTTTCATAAAATTAAATGATTTTGTATTTAGAATTTATTGAAAGCTCTCTTTATTTAAAAGATATTTTCAACAGTAGGAGCTCCTTCTTCAATTACTAAAATTCTTAAGGAACACACAGTAGAAAAGGCGACAATGTTCCATTGTCACAATACCTAAAACTAAGGTAATTTTTGTCTTCTATGTCTTCCCCCAACACATGTTCCAGTATTCATGAGGGTAGGACATGTGAACATACCACAGGCACTCATAGGCAGTGTTGTGTCACTTCTAAGTGCTGTACTTTAAGAAACCTATTGATATATTTATTTGGCTATGAGAAGATATCTACAACAGGAAAGTAGAAAGAAATGTATCTTCTTCCTAATTCCCTTTATAGCTGATGATGTTGAGCCAACAGGAGAAAAAAGGCATAATTGATGCTGTGGTTACTTGCAGGATTACCACCTAGAAAGGGCTTTCTATGTAATGTCAGGCCAATAACCAATACTACTTTATGGGCATTAATAAAATTGACTCCGTATAACACTAGGACTCTCACACTATGAGTAGAGACCAGAGGAGATAATTCATCTGTTCAACAGGTTAAAAATGACTTCATATGATCATATTAAGCAATAAAATAACCTTAGTCCCATCTATGAGGCCAGAACTTGCTGAATGGAGTGAATACCCTCAGAAAAGGCAAATATTTAAGAAGATCCATGAGGCAAGACTGTAATCAGAACCAAGATGCAAAATACTTTATGTAGCACAGACAGAATGGAAAGAGTCTTGTCTGGAAGAAGTGCTCAGGCAGACTTATCTGTGGAAGGCAGATGTTTGCTAGTAGCATGCCAGTTTGTAATTCTGAATGCATTTTTCTGAAATTAGTTGGCTCTATATAGCTGTTCTGCACTTTTACTAATACCAACAGTTAAATAGATGTCTTTTGAATGATTCAGGAACCCAGTACCCATTTCCTCTTTAATTCAGTAAAACTGAATATTTATTGTACCCTAAGCACTCTTTTAAGATCCCAAATGTAAAACAGTGAATAAAAAGAAAAGAATTCCCTACTCTTAAGGAGCTTACATCCTAGTGACTACCTAAACATTAAAAATAAATGTGAAAACCTTAATATGGACTCTAACCAAAACTAATTTTTCAATCTGGGAGTCTAGTTCAGTGTTAGAGTGCTTGCATAACACGTACAAGGTTCTAGGTTTCATCTTCTAGCACCAAAGCAAAACAAAACAAAACCAAAAAATGAAGAGGAATGAGAAATAAGTAACAAGAAAAAAAATAATTTTCCCTTTTACAAATGGTGTTAATGTCTATTAAGTGCACCTTAATTAATTTCCTGAAAAATAATTATCTTCATAAAATATATAACAACACCTGTCAATTATAGCTTTTATCATTTTATTTTTTTCAAAAATTAAATAGAGATATGTTTTTCTAGAAGACTTTCTACTTTTCTGGTGAAAGAAAACATAGAGCTAATGTTTCATGCATTGCAATATTTAGAATTTTGGTTATACAAGAACTTGTTCAATATGCAGAGAAATTACTTTAAGAATGTATTATCATCACATAATACTCTCCCAGATTCATTTGTTAGGTTACTGAGCCACCGTTTTGTTTTTTTGTTTTGTGTGTGTGTGTCCATTTGAGTTATGAATATCAAAGAATTCCATATTTAACATGAATAACCCCAGTGGTACAGTAATGTCAAAGGTCATTTGAAATTTGGAGAGGTGTTCCAGAAGCCGTCAGGTTTACTGATGTCTGTTTAGATGTGGAAACACGGAGGCAAATTGATATTCTAAGGCCCAGATCTTGAGTTCTCTGGCCTTCTGGCTAGGGGTCTCACTCACATTCTGTAGTTCAGTTATCTTTGCCATTTGAGTGGGCTGTGGCCTTGACTGAAGTTCTTTCAGGTGTTCCATGCTGTGCCTGACAGGAGTGTCCGTGGGGTGTCACCCCCAAGTCCCCTTACCTGCCAAACATCTGGAGCTGACAATACCCAAGCATCTGACTGAAATTCCTAGTTATACTACCATTCAGCTAACTCTTAGCTGGCAGATGGCTTTAGAATTTGACGACTCAGTTCATAATTAGTTAACTTTCTGAGTACCGATACCATTTACACTACAGTAGTTTTTATGTTTGTTTTTGTCAACTTACTGGATACCAAACAGGGCATCAAACCCTTAACACATTTTAACTGTTTAATTCCTAGAACTGTGAAGCAATACTTCCTTGGTTCCTTCTTCACAGAGGAAATAAACTAGACAGAGGAACGCATCAGTTGCTAAAGGTTATTCAGAGAGTTAGCATCAGTGTCAGGTGTGGAGTACAGATCTTGTATCCCACCTGATTTAACATTAACGTCAGTTGACAGGGAGAACCACATACCCTAAGAATTTAAAAATATGTTTAACTGTCCAAGAGTCTGGGCCCGGGATATAGAGAGTGAGCCATGCTTTCTATTCGAAGTCCTGTTAGTTTACAGTTCAAATGCTCTTAGAATGGCTCCATCTGTCACCCTGAGTTCCTAATCTAACATTTGTCTTACAACAAAAAATAGTTTATATGCATAGAGTTATAGGTGTTAAAAACTAATACAAATAAGTATATTAGAATTTCGTTTGATGGAATTATTCTTTATTTTCATGTAGTAGTCATTTGATTTCTGTAGTGATACTGAACACTAAGGCAAACTTTTTTACACTTGTTGGTAGTGGGGATTTTTTGTTTTTTGTTTTTCATAACATGAAACTTTCGCAGCTCTCTGTGTAGGCTCAGTATTTTCATCTGCTTGTTATACTGGTTATATTGTGTTATCCAAGTGAGATTTTAAAAGTCCCTGATGTTTAATAGTGACTCAGCTTTTGAAATTAAGACAGCTGGACTGGATTATTCTGACAATGTACTGAAGCTCGTTTTGCTGCCTTTAAAAAAATTATTTTGTCTAACCTTACTAGAGGAGAAAAATTAACATTGCCTCTTTGATAATGTAATGATATTAGTGTTTCCTTCTTAGAAATGAAACACAGTAAAAATCTTAACCTTGACTTTGCAGAAGTCAGTTGTACTTTTAGAAAAATACTCATCTTTGCACAGCTTGTTTTCAAGATAAATCTTGCCATCCTGAAGTGTTCAGTTTTTTTGGTTTCTAAAGTAGAGTATGAATAAGAGAGTCCCTCTAATGAAATTCAGAATTGACTCATCTTTTTCCTCTCTTCTCTTTCCTCCAGCTCTTTCTCTTTGTAGTGTGGAATTTTGAGCTCTACATGATACCCCTGGTTTTGTTGTTACTATTGACATGGAACTACTTCTTGATAATATCAGGGAAAGATAACAGGCAACGTGATACAGTAAGTCTCTACTTTCTTACTCGTGTTTTTGTTCTCAGTCTTAGCTCCACCGACAAGATCAGCATTGGATTTGGTTTTACAAACCAGAATTTCTTTCTATGAAGTACTCAAGTTTTGAAGAAAGTTTTATCAGATGAAAACTAACTCTTTGGTCCTAACTCAATAGAAAGTATTCATCTATTTCTAGTGTTACTCATCTTGATAGAAACTGAAGTAGGCAATGCACCACAGAATGGCTATGATTTTTAGTCATAAACGGTAGTTACTGGAAATTATTGTACCTTCTCCGTTTTTCTGTCTTGACGAATCCTGAATTACCAAATTATGTCACAAAATTCTTAATGATCAGATCAAATGAATATGCTTTACTTAAAACAGTTCTCTGTGCAGTCATTGAAAGGGAAGAAGGATTTATATTTGTTGGCTTGGAAAAGTGTGTTAAAGTACCTGAAGTCAATGGTATTCACTGCACAATAGCAAGTACCTTTCTTTCTGTGACAAGTCTATTTAAGTACCAGCTCAAAAATGAAGAACTTTCAAATCATTTAAAGAAAGTGGAACTAAATATATTTGCCATCTTTGACACTTTGGAAAGTCTTTAGAATATATGTGACAACCTTTGTGCTCTCTTGCACTCTGTCTCTTACCTTTCCTCCCTCCCTCTCTTTCTTTTAGACTAAGAAGCAGAAGCTAGTGATTTTGTTCTCCTAACAAGTTTTTAGTCCTGTAGAGTATTTCACTACTCTACAAATTTATTTGCAATATCTTTCCTGCATATAAATAAACAAGGAGGAAGGTCTCCAAATAGGACATTTGTAATTGGACAACTTGATAGATGGCCATGAAGAAATTAAAGGATTGTCAAACACAGGAATTGACTTGATAACTGCGTATTCATCAGCTGTGCAGTTTTTCATGTGGTTTATACACAGGAATTTTTGTCAACTATTGTAATGATGTATAGTGACATAGTACTAGTGAAAAAATGTTGCAGACTGCTTTATTGTAATAATAAGCATCAGAGCAGTTAAAAAGACATAACTGTGACACGAAAGTTCCTTTGAAGCAATGTATACTTCAAAGGGTAACATAAGTAAAATCTTATTTCTTCAACATAATTCCTCCTCATCAAAATACAATCAAATTTTGATTACACAGAACCACAAAGTATATGGTAAAGTTGCCAATAACACACCAGATTTATTTCCCTGTCGTTTTTCTGTATCCCTTACCAGAGGGTGTGTTTGAAGGAAGATACTTTTTATCTCTGTGTTTGCCACTGTCTCCGGCAAGTCTACAAATTAAAAGTGTCCAAAATAGTTTTTGTAAATAATGTCAAATGAAATTTGAAGATTGCTGATAGAGATTTTAATGGTTAGGCAGCATCAATAGACAAAAAGTTATTACTATCGGCAAGGATTTTTATAGATATATATTTGAATTGCACACTGAGAGGTAAGTCCCAGATGTTATAAAAGTTGGTGTCAGGGGGCCTAATAAGTACTTTGGTCAATTAATCCAGGATATTTTCTTTAAGAAAATAGGACTCTTTCAGACAATTGCTTTTTTGTCCTATTTATTTCAGAGAGATTGTCAAGAGAGAAAAATCTCTTATTTTTCATTCAGTTGCCTTGAGACGAATTTGCAAATAAGATTACTTGCAAATAGGAAAAAGTGGTAATTTAGTTTTAGTTTCTTAATCCTATGAGGGAGCTTATCTTCAATATTTAGTCATCGGTTTGAGAATTCTTAATAAAAAATTCTGAAACTGTAAACCGGTTGTTATCTTTTCCAGAACATACCTGTCTTGGCTGGAAAAGTCCATTTTACCAGGGGAAAATAATATATAATGTATCCTTGGAACTTAAAATTTTCTGACTTTTTATAAATGTGTAGAAAAATTACATAATACGGAATTAACATTGCATAACATGCCATTTTTCAACTGCCCTTTACGTTTTTACAAAATACAATTCCAAAATAGGCCTCTCCAGATCTTTCCCTCTTAGGCACACGTCTTCTAACAGACTTCCCCTTTTATCCCTGGCCCACACTGTGTCCCCCCAGCACAACCCACTGTGAAGCATTCTATAGTCTAACTCTTCAGAATGCCAACTGCATGCCATAACTCCCAGTAATTGCCTTTTATTTGCCCAAAACACACATATCCACATATTCTGTTCTTCCCAGGCACCAGAGCAGCAATCACAACGTTTCATTCAGCTTCTTATTCACTGGCTCAGTTGAGACCTTACGTAACTCTTAAATCCAATTTGTCTAATTATGTGTTTTCTGGCATACCCAGCTGTGCATTTGAACTGGTTGCTCCTTTTGAAAAGAGACCTGGATTATACTTTGCTGGTTGCAGATTATATATGTGTGTATGCAAATTAAGGGAAAGTGCTTGTAGGGGTTACTATGCTGTGGCTAAGTGACTTCTGCACAGTATATAGCCCTGGAGGAATAGTGTTTTGCCCAGTGCCCTTGATGCTATCTCCGAAACATTGCAGGATTTTTCAACATGTGTAAAAACTATTGGATCTTTGATGTGCATTAATCACATGGTTGCCTAATCCAAAAATCAGGAAATTTTCCATATTGGAAAGAGAAAGGCAGAGAGAGACAGACAGACAGACAGACAGACACAAGGACACACAGACACACAGAGACAGAGACAGAGACAGAGACAGAGACAGAGACAGAGAGACAGAGAGAGAGGGAGAGACAGAGAGAGAGATTTCTGTCATGAAAATGAAACTATACATTCAACTAAGAAAATTTAATTGCGATGAAACTATAAATGAAGAACAAATCAAAATGACCCTCAGCTTTACATAGAAAAAGAAAAGGAAATACTAGTTCCATGGCATAAGAAGTTGAATGAGAAAAAAAAAACAAACACTGTGAGACATGAACAAGGCATGAATGAGTGAAAATTCACCATATTGATGGACTGTTGGGATAAATACTGGGATAGCAAAGAGTGAATATTATTTATTAAGGGAAGGTTTTCCTGTTGTAGAACCTTAAGATTGCAGTAACTAAAATCTCCACCCTTCTCCTTCTATAGTGCCTGTTCTAGTTTAATTAGAAAAGTGAGATACAATCCTTGCTGAATAAGTTTTGCTACACTTAATGAGCTGAACTGTTAAGGACAGGCAAAGCAGGCAGCCATTCCCAAGGTTGGAGGTGTAATCTCAGAGGGTAACCACAGGAAAGGCATACTTAGAAATGGTATTTCACCTCACATTGTTTCCCAGTCCATCTTGTTAAAAATAAGCTATCCTAGGTCTGAATCTACCTAGACTGGGATCATGACATTAAAATTTCTAGCATGAGAACTGTTCGGCTTTTCCAGAGAAAACTGCTTAATACATGCTTCATTCAGAAATCTCCGTGGCATGAAAGGAATATAAAGATAAAAATGTCATCCTCCTCTTGATTTGAGCTGTCACTTCAAAAGCTGGAGAAAATTTCCCCTGCACTACCTATTAGGCTTGTACCAACCCACTAATTTATAAATACTGCACACAGAATTTTTGAAAGGGAAAAATAGTTGCCAGGAAATAGTCTTTACTTTTAGCTTAAAAATTACTGAACCCTCTTGGGTACCAAGTGAAGCACACTTTATTCACTGTGTCAATTAGTCCTGTCTGGAGAGAGAAGCCAAATTGTGCCAGCCTAGCCAATGGGTTGGTCCTCCTATAATAGGTGATGCCCCAGTCTCTTCATTTGAAGCGATGAATGTGAAGCAGTTGTGGCTATTTGTACTCCTTAAAAAGGGACTCTAATCTCAAGATGATGAAGGAAATGGGTTGCTCAAGAAACCAAGGGTCTCTCACACATCCCACAGGTATCATTTTTACTTTCTGTCCCAGGAAATCAGACAAGAGAGATTAAATAACTTTTGCACAGGCATATTCATCTCAGGATTTTGCTACTAACCTCCAATCAATTCTGTTTCCTCTTGGAATTATACTTTGGTATATCCCATGTCTCCCTGGTCAAGTGTCCCTCAAGAGTTACAGAAAAAACAAACAAACAAACAAAAAAAAAACCCAGTAGCACTAATTCTGCCTTCAAGCAGACATATTGATTGAAAACAATTCCCTAGCCCTTTATCTTTCTTACTGTTCATTCAGGCGAATGGAGTAAATGCTTATTAAGTAATTTCTACACATCAGATATCCCGCTAAGCCTTTTAGAGATGTCACATCTTTTTATTCTTTGCAATAACTACATCAAGTAAATGATTTTTAGTGGTGTTATCCCCACTTAACAAATGAGAACATTCAAAATGAAAGGCTAAATAATGAACTCCACAGAGTAAATGTGATGGAAACCCAGCTCTGTCCTTTTCCAGAACCTCTGGATATTTTTCTAGTAAAAACTTGGATACATCTTTCCCAAAGGGCCACTTTTTAAGTGTCCAGGGCTTTGCATAGCATCACAGAAGTCCCTGGATTCTTCCCTATAAGGTACCCAGGGACTTCTCAAGAAATGATGTTGGATGTCTGTCCTGGCCCATTCAATTCAAAGGCACCCACAACCAGAAAAACAACCTCCCCTTCACCCAGGTGAGCTTGGGAGGGTAAACTGATGCTCAGAATCCTTCTTGTAAGCTAGGAAAGTCTTCGAATTTTTTTTTTGACATACAGAAATTCTCTGTGCAGGTTTTTTAATTACACTTTAAAAGAACATTCATTCTTACTGTCATGATAAGCCTCCCACACAACAATCTCAGTTGCCTAATCAATGATGGCATTAAAAGACTGAGGAGTGGGACAGATCAATGAAATCATTCTGACTCATGATATGACTGTGACACAAATTGAGACAAAGCCTGCCTTGCTCAAATACTTTAGTAAATACTGAAATGTTTCACTAACTTCCCCGAAATGGTAACTCATTCACTTCTTTTCCCCTTAAGAATAATACTTCATCTTGTTTCTTGTTGGATCTGATTCAATTAGTTTCAAAGGAGCTACCTAGAAAAAACA